ACACCCCCTTAAAAACCAAAAAATAAAGGGAGGGGGCAAGTATGATGTACCCTAAACCCCCCCCTACACAGGGAGGAGAGGAGGTGACAAATATGATTACCCTAACCACCTCATTTCACAGGTAGGAGAGGTAGGTACAATTGTGTACCCTGCACCACCTTATACAAGGTATGAGGGAGGTACAAGTATGATTCCGTACACCACCTCATTAAGGAGGAGAGGAGGTGAAAGTATGAGTACCCCAAACCCCCTCATAAACATTTTGAGAGGGGGTGACAAGTATGATGTCCCTACACCACCCAAAACACAGGTAGGAGGGTAGGTGACAAGTTTATGTACCCTGCACCCTTTAAAGGGAGTAAGGTAGGTGACAAATATGATGTACCCAAAACCACCTATACACAGGTAGGAGAGGTAAGTGAAATTGAATACCCCACACCACCTATACACAGGTAGGAGGGTAGGGGACAAGTTATGAAACCCACACCACCTCATCACAGGGAGGAGAGGTAGGTGAAAGTATGATGTCCCGCCCACCCTTATACACGGGAGTAGAGGTAGGGGCAAGTTGATGTACCCTACACCACCTCATACACAGGGAGGGAGGTAGGGAAAGTATGATTTACCCACACCACCCCTAAAAAGGTATAAGGTAGGGGACTATTGATGTACCCCACACCACCCCATACACAGGAGGGGGAAAGGGAGGTCAAGATGATGTTACCCTACACCACCTCATAACAGGTAGTAGAGGTACTTGAAAGTATGATTTACCTACTCCACCCCAAACAGGTAGGGAGGAGGTGACAAATATGAGTACCTACACCACCCCTACACAGGGAGTAGAGGTAGGGGGACAAGTATATGTACCCTACACCCCCCATCACAGGTAGGAGAGGTAGGTGAAAAAATTGATTTTCCGTCACCCTCATACAAGGGGAGTAAAGGGGAGGGACAATATGATGTACCCTACACCACCCATACACAGGGAGGAGAGGTAGGTGAAAGTATGATGTACCCACACCCCTCATACACAGGAGGAGAGGGGGTGACAAATATGAGTACCCTTCACCCCCTCATACACAGGTAGGAGGGGTAGGGGGACAAGTATGATGTACCCTACCCCACCCATACAAGGTAGGAAGGTAGGTGACAAGTAATGTACCCTGCACCACCTATACACAGTGGGGAAAGGGAGGTGACAAGTTTTGATGTACCCACAACCCCTCTACACGGGAAATAGAGGGATGTGACAAGTTTGAGTACCCCACCACCTCATACACAGGTAGTTGAAGTAGGTACAAGCATGATGTACCCACACCACCTATACCAGGTAGGAGAGGTAGGGGACAAGTATGAGTACCCTACACCACCTCATACACGTAGTAGAGGTAGGTGACAAATATGTGACCCCAACCACCTCATACACAGGAGGAGAGGTAGGTGACAAGTATTTGTATTACACCACTCATACAAGGTGTAGGGGAGTTGAGAAGTATGATGTACCTACACCACCTGTACACAGGTAGGGAGGTAGGGGACAATATGATGACCCTACACCCCCCATACACAGGTAGTTAAAGGGAGGACAAGTATATGACCCACACCACCAGCAAGGAGTAGAGGTAGTTTTGGAAAATATGAGTACCCCAATCACCTCATACACGGTAGAGAGGAGGTGACAAGTATGATGTACCCCACCCACCCTTAACGGTTTGTGAGGGAGGGGGCAAGAGTGTACCCTAAAACCCCCCATACAGGAAAAGGAGGTAGTTGGGAAGCATGTGTACCCTTTAAACCACCCATACACTGGGAGTAAGGTAGGTACAAGTATGATGTACCCACACCACCCAAACACAGGTAGTAGGTAGGTTACAAGTATAGTACCCTACACCACCTCATACAAGGTAGTGAGGGAGGGTTTCAAGTATGATTACCCACACCCCCATAACAGGTAGTAGAGGTAGGTGACAAGTATGATGTACCCTACAACACCTCATACACAGGTAGTAGAGGTAGGTAACAAGTATGATGTACCCTCACCAACCCCTTTCACAGGTAGTAGAGGTAGGTGACAAGTATGATGTACCCTACACCACCTCATACACAGGTAGGAGAGGTAGGTGACAAGTATGATGTACCCTACACCACCTCATACACAGGTAGTAGAGGTAGGTGACAAGTATGATGTACCCTACACCACCTCATACACAATTAGTAGAGGTAGGTGACAATTTGATGTACCCTACACCCTTAACAGGTTTAGGGGTAGGTTACAAGTATGATGTACCCTACCCCCACCTATACACAGGTAGTAGAGGTAGGTGACAAATATGATGTACCACAACACCTCAAACAAGGGGTTTTGAGGGAGGTGACAAATATGATGTACCCCAACCCCTCTACACAGGGAGTGAGTAGGTGGCAAGTATGATGTACCCCACAACACCTCATACACAGGTATAGAGGTAGGGACAAAATGATTTACCCCCAAACACCTATACACAGGTGAGAGGTAGGTGACAAATATGATGTACCCACCCACCCCATACACGGTTTTGTAGAGGGAGGTGACAAGTATGATGTCCTAACCACCTCACCGACATTCAGCCTCAATTTTAATTTCATTTTATTTGGGATGAAGTACTGCCAAATCAATGACCATGGATTCACGTTGACAACAGATACCTTAAGCCCGCCAGGCGACAATGACTTAATAAAGTTGATAGAATTCCGACAAATTGTAAAGTAAAAAAGGGCACAAGTGCAACTAATTGACTTTATTTTGGGAAGTTTCGCTCTCCGGGGGCTTTATCAAGCCATTACAAAAAATACATGGACACGAGGTATATAAAGGGTCAGGTGAGGTGCAATACTAGTGAGGTACCTTTGTGTTAATAGTGAGTAGTATAGTAGTGTAGTGTGAGTAGTAGTAGTAGTAGTAGTAGTAGTAGTAGTATAGTAGTAGTAGTATAGTAGTAGTGACAAAAATAAACAATTGGTAGGCAATTAATCCTTCACTCTGTCGAAATTAATTGCTCTACCATATTTTATTACTTTTGCCCCTACCACTACTACACTACTATATACTACTACCACTACTGAACATCGAAATGGTACCCCACAAGTATTTCACCTCACTCTGAGCTTTATAAACCCCCTGTTCCATGTATTGTTTTTAATGGCTTATAAAGCTCCCGGAGAGCGAAAGTTGCCACAATAAATGTCCATTAGTTGCATTGGACAATGACTGTTTCTGATACAGTTGCAGTGGTAATTATTGTAATTCGGCTTTACATAACAATTAATAAGGGGGCAAATTAAAAATTTTACTAAATAAAAATTTTTAAAAAAAACAACATTGGTCAGCTCTGACCTGCCCCGTTAACTGATTGTATTTGCTCTTTGTATTTATTTGGGAAAAGTTTCAGAAGAGCGTCGCATTAGTCCTCTCCCTATAGTCAAGTTTTACCCGCTATAGTAAGCTGACAGCTTATCAAGTTTTACCGCTATAGTCAAGCCGACCCGCTATAGTCAAGTTTTACCCGCTATAGTCAAGTTTTACCCGCTATAGTCAAGCCTGACCCGCTATAGTCAAGTTTTACCCGCTATAGTCAAGCTGCCCCCTAAAGTAAGTTTTTTCCCGCATAGTCAAGCCTGACCCGTTAATCAAGCCTGACTGGCTACAGTGAAGATAGACCCCCTATTTCAAGCCGAGCCGTATAGCCAACCTGACCCCTTTAGTAAGCCTGACCCCCATAGTCTCCTTGACCCCCTTAGTAAGCCTGACCCCTATACCCAAACCTGACCCCCTTTACCAAGCCTGACCCGCTATAGTCAAGCCTGACCTCCTCTAGTCAAGCCTGACCCGCTATAGTCAAGCCTGACCCGCTTTAGTCAGGCCTGACCCGCTATAGTCATTCTTGACCCGCTATAGTAAGCCTGACCCCCTATAGCCGAGCCTGACCCCCTATAGCCAAGCCTTACCCGCTATAGTCAAGCCTGACCCGCTATAGCCAAGCCTGACCCGCTATAGCCAAGCCTGACCCGCTATAGTCAAGCCTGACCCGCTATAGTCAAGCCTGACCCGCTATAGCCAAGCCTGACCCGCTATAGTCAAGCCTGACCCGCTATAGTCAAGCCTGACCCGCTATAGTCAAGCCTGACCCGCTATAGCCAAGCCTGACCCGCTATAGCCAAGCCTGACCCACTATAGTCACGCCTGACCCGCTATAGTCACGCCTGACCCGCTTTAGTCACGCCTGACCCGCTATAGCCAGGGGTAATAGTTCCGTGCAGGTTATCTGTCAGTACTGTAAATAAACTTTAAAATAATGTTTCTGTCAATTTTCTGTTCAAAATTATGATGATTCAGAGTGAAAAATTTGTATCTTTACAAGAATGTTGTATGAGGCGAGATTCACCTTCCTTGTGTTGGATGATACAGTGTAGTATACACAGATACTACCAGGTACCTAGAGTTTACTTGGAGAGGGTTTCGGGGGTCAACGACCCCGCGGCTCGGTCTGAGACCAGGCCTCGTGGTGGATCACGATCTGATCAACTAGGCTGTTACTGCTGGCCGCACGGAAGCTGACGTACGAACCACGGCCTGGTTGGTCAGGTACTGACTTTAGGTGCCTGTCCAGTGCCTTGAAGACAGCCAGGGGTCTATTGGTATTCCCCCTTAGGTATGCTGGGAGACAGTTGAACAGTCTTGGGCCCATGACACTTATTGTGTTGTCTCTCATTGTACTCGTGGCGCCCCTACTGCTCAAAATATTTTACGTGCCTATGCAAAATGACATACCAATTAATTATTATGCCACAGTCAACCTTGCAACACTCTTTGTATCACTATTATCAAAGTCAACCATTCCATGCCCTTTTGAAGGCTTAATTCATACAAAATTAACATACGTTTAATACTATTGGAAAAAAAATTCTTCAGTAGCACTCAAAATACGCGAATGTTTGCAAAATCTAAATATAAATCCAACCTGTATATAATATGCTTGAGCTGGCCACAAGGACAGTTTACAGGTAACTTGGTCAGTCAACAAATGGCCTGAAACAAAGCCCGATTCTTCCAGCCAGGAGAGAAGATACTCTACACCAAGAGACCCTCTGGGTGCCCAACCTACAGTCACTTCTGCCAGTGTATCCACCTTCACATTCATGATTTCCAGTGTCCATGACTTATCAACCTGAAACAATAAAATTAAGTAACTTTAATAATAATTTAGCGGAAAATTTAGGAATTGTGGGTATAACAGTGTAAAGTTTAAAATATATGGAGCCTCGTTGAGCTAAGAATCAAGAAGATAATTTGAACGTTCATCACACCTACAGTAAAATCTCATAGTTCATTTGTCGATGTATGGCTTTTTTAGTACATGACTAGTGAAATTAATTTCCCAAGTTGATAAACATTGGGAATCGGGTGAACTGTTCACGCCGTGAATTTTTTGAAAACCTATTCTGACAAAAAAAAAAACAATTTTGTCCAGGGCTTCCTATGGTGGCGCGTGGCCTGGTGATATCAAAAATTCTCGCTTCACACTGTGAGGTGTCCGAGTTCAATTTCCGGCGAGGATTTGAAACATTGGGCGTATTTCCTTAAACCGGCTGTCTATGTTCACCCATCAGCATAAAATGGGTACCTGGGTGTTAGTGGACTGGTGTGGGTTGCATCCTGGGACAAGGACCTAATTTGCGGGAAATGCTCAGCATAACAAGCGGCTTTCTATATAGTAGTATGTCACTGATGTTAGCAATGATCTGTATAACTTGTACATATACTTGTAGAAATGGATATTATTATTACTGGTCAATTTTAAACTTTAAGAGCTGATGTGTTTTCCTTAAAATAATAATCTCTCCGTGTTAGACTGCGTAAGTTATGTACCAAATTTTTTTAATCAAACTGGTTTCTGTTAAATTACTGGAGAATGTTTCTTCTGATAGCAAATAAGTTATTGTTTATCCCAAGTTAACCCAACTGATCCTTTATGTGTCCTAAAGACCATAGTTAAAAGCATTATACGTTATGTTCTCTAGGCTGACATGAATCTTAATGTCATCAGAGGTGATGACTCTTACCTGGAGAAAAGTGTGATTGATTCTGGTCTGTGTAGGTCCCTATTTATTGTTTTCTGAACCGGACAAATTAGTGCTGCTTTTCTGAATGTCATATCTGATTATATTCAACCCCTTGCAAACTGATAATTTAATAATGCAACTTCTGAGGGCCTTCAATTATTATAATGAAAAATATGCGCTTAACATACAAGGGTCATACAGCGCAGTGACGGCCTTCAAGCTTAATGCACTTGTGTACTTTAGAAAATTGGTCATTTGGTCCGTGTAATATCCTAATTTACAATTTTTATTGGCGAAATTTGGATAATACTTTCCTTATCATGAGTTATGTATGCATCTTCTGATTCCACTCAAAATTTTTCTAAACTATTATTTACGCTGCGCTGCGCATTTCCAAACGCATGTCTTGAAACGCAGGTGTTATGAAATACGGGGATTTCCTTTTACGAATTACTACGAGGCCGAAATATATCGAGTTTTTACCCAGGTTGACAACAGGTGATAATTGTTGTGGTAAGGTGTTGGGGACAAACCATACCACGGGCGGGATTTGAACCCAAGGTCAGTATGAACATGAGAACAATAGAATACAGTTTTTAACATATTTAAGAATGAAATAATTGTTTATGTAGTTAGTTTATAGTTATGGTACATTACAGACATTTCTAGATTACTAACCAAAGACATTTACAATATAAGTCAGGAACACTGTTATTAGGTATCCCTCACAGGGTACTGGTGACGGTTCTCAGGATTTTGTTCTCTTCCTCTCAAGTGTATCCTAGCCCGGCTCAGGCTAGGATACAAGTGTATTTACGAGGTTAAATACTCTATTTTCGTAGATTTTGTAGCATTTGCACATTGGTATAATGGTCATGTTTTAATAACTTCCTTCACGGTTTTCGCTTCAACGTTTCAACTGAGGGAATGTTTGCAGAACAAATGACACGGGCGAAACGCTGGGTATTTTTCCTTGCACCTGTTGCCACTGTTCACCTAGCAGTAAGTAGGTACCTGTGTGTTAGTCGACCGCTGTGACTCGCATCTTAGAGACAAGATAAACGTACACTGCCTGAAATGCTCCCTATAACCAGAGGCTTCTATAAAGCACGTCAAATATTTCGTCAACTGTGTCTGCCGAGGTCCAGGTAATAAACCCTCGACATTAACATAAAAACTGTGTCTGCATCAGTTGTATCATGTATTTTGTAGTAAAGGTTTTTATTATTATTATTATTATTATTATTATTATTATTATTATTATTATTATTATTATTATTATTATTATTATTATTATTATATGAATGGAATCCGCATAATAACTTTAGGAAGAATATTCTGAGCTGCTTAAAAATGTTAATACATATATATTCCTCTCATAAGAAGCTTGATAATGTTAATGTGCTGTGTAGGTATCCTTTTTATCCTTTTTTTTCTAATCTAAATGACTTCCATTTCCCATTTGCTATATTGCCCTATGGTTTTAGCGCTTTCTCCCTTATTAAAATAATTTTAAACGTCTTCATTATATGTAAACGGATGAGACGTTTCTTAGTGTTAGGCTTCGTAAGTCAAATTTCGTTAGATGCTGTTCAGTATCTGGAGAATGCGTCTTGTGATAGGTTACAAACTTTTATATAAAATGTGTAAGTTATCATGTGCTAAATTTAATAAATTGGTATCCTTGAAATAACTAAAGAATGTCTCTCTTGATAAAAGTGTTACAATGGTTCTTTTTATTGAAAGATCCTACGTTAAATTTACATATATTTTTTGTGTCCATAACATTGGCCTGCTTCCGAAACCATTGTAAAAGAGGCCACAGACCTTGTCTGCTAAATGTCACATGGAGTTTAACCCCACCAAGTGCAAAGTCGTGAAGCTTGGGGAAGGGCAAAGAAAGCCGAAGACGAAGTACAGTCTCGTGGGACAAAGGCTGCAAACCTCGCTTAAATAAAAGGGCCTAAGGGTGAGTATTGTAACAAGTAAATATTCTGAGGCGCACACCAACCAAATAACTGCTGCAGCATATGTGTGTCTGGCAAACCTAAGAATGGCGTTTCAGCATCTAAGGGTCATTCAAGACACTGTACACCGTGTACGTCAGGCCCACATTAGAGTATGCAGGACCAGTATGGAACCCACCCTTGGTCAAGCACGTCAAGATATTGGAGAAAGTGCTGAGCTTTGTAACAAGACTAGTCCTGAGGAGAGGTTAAGGGTATTCAGCTTCATGACACTAGAGGACAGAATGACTTGGGGAAATATGATAAGGACATATAAAATACTGAGAGGAATCGACCAGGTGAAAGGGGATAGAATGTTCCAGAGATGGAAAAAAGGTGCCAGAGGGCACAACTGGAAGTTAAAAGTTAACATGAGTCATTGTGATTGTAGGAAGTATTTCTTTAGCTTAGAGTTGTCAGGAAGTGGAACAATCTGGAGAGTGAAGTAGTAGAGGCCGGATCCATACACTGCTTTACGAAGAGGTACGATAAGGCTGAGACAGAGTGGACCTAGTGGTGGCCAGCAACGAGGGGGGCCAGTGGCTGTGACTCGACCCCTGTAACTATATACAGATGAGTACATACAGGTGAGCACACGCACACATTAAACTGGAAGTGCTGAAGCGGGACATTGAGACGAGGACCATAAGAAGCAAGGTGCTGAGAAAAGGAACAGCAATAGACAGTGATGGGGCTAAAGTAGGGAACTTGGAGAAGTGATATCATGTTACCGGGGCATCCGGGAGATGATAAGGAAACAACTAAGGAGATGCTTAAATCGGATCCAGAGTTATGGATGGATGAGGAGAGGGAGAAGTCACTAATTATATAATGATCAACAATTATTTTCTGGTCAATGATATACTGATTTTAGGGTAAGTTTGTGGTGCTGATTCCGAATATGTCATCGGTTTTGCTTGATTGGCTCAAGTTTTTGAGAAATTTGGTATCCAGTTGAAAAACATTAAAGATGTGAAAAATATAATGATCATGCTGGGCTCAATTACAAATCGCATTGAAATTATTTTTTAGCTCATGCAAGCAAGCAAGAAGTTTACCCAGGTAATAGCGTTCATATCCTTTTACTCATGTGGAAGTTAATTGTTCTACCATATTGTATTACTGCTACAACTTCTACTACCACTACTATTGCACCTCACTCTGAGAATATATACCCTCTGTGTCCATGTTCTGTTTGTAACGGCTTGATAAAGCTCCTGGAGAGCGAAACGTTGCCACAATAAAATGTCACATTAGTTGCACTTGTGTCCCTTTATTTTACAAGACGTTTACCGTTTTGCTGAGTGAGAAATTAGAAGAGTTGCTTATTGGTTACAATTGTGCAAGCTTTTAATGGAGCTTTTATAAACAGCCGCCAATCTCCTGATTGATATTCAAGTCCCATTCGAAGGAGTTCAGGAATTTTATTGCAATACACAAGTTCTCCATCTTGGCTTAAGTAAGGAAGGAATTCGACCTCTCTTGTCCGATAAGCTGTTATTTTAACTTCTTGTTTTAGAAATTTCTTTTAGTTTAGATGCTATAAGTTCAGACGTTTGCTTTGACGGTCTGAGGAACATTGAATTCTTCTTGGGAGAACTGCTGAGCTGTTGAAATCCTTACTTAATATTCACTTCCACTGCTATCACCTGTGTTACATCCTTAACCCTGAATTTCTTCAACATCTGCCAACAGAAGGTCAGGCAGTGTTATAAACACTGGTATGGGAACATCTTCACTGTGTGGCACAGGTCACGTTGCTGACTCCAAATCAGGATATTCCCACCTGACTCGAATTGTATCGATTGAAACCTTTCACTTTCATCACACAGATATAGTCATTGTGGTGCCTTTCTGCTCTCTCAACACCATAGGCACACCGAACCTTTAACTTTTTCTTTGCCTATTTTTCCACTATCATAAGCATTCTACACAGGTTTTGGAAGCTATATGGGGAACCCAAGACTTGTCTTATTATCCAAGTACCATTCCGAAATAAGCAAAATAAGCACGTTTTACAAAATTTGTGATTTTTTCTTTGTTTTTGCCAAGAGTATTCGCTATAAAATGTAGCAAAATGCATTGGAATTGTTTAAGCAGACTCTTCGTGAAGGACTCACGTTTCTCTTGAAAATATTACAAAATAAAGGATACAATATTGTCACGTGGTCGTTGTTGATACAACTGTCGTTCAATATTAAATCATTTAAAAAATAAAATTATAATTTTTATTAAAAACTATCTGTATATTATTGTACCCACGAGCGAGTGGTATTGATTAATAACAACACTGTACTAGCCAAGGACTCGAAACCATGTTGTACTGGCCCGCCTCATGAGAGCTACAACCACATGATGCCTTAACTCACAGGGTAGGATTGGGTGGTACTGTGGGTTAAGGCATCATGTGGTTCTAGCTCTCCATGAGGCGGGCCAGTATAACATGGGTTCAAGTCCATGGTTAGGGCAGTGCTATTAACTAACTGTATATGCAAATTGTTATAACATTTATAAATACACGTGTTATGGTTAGGTTCCCTGTTAATTGAGGGTAGGTATGCTGTATATAACAAATTAGAGCCAGTTTGAAAACCCTATTGACATTTTCGAATTCGGCAACCACAAAAATATTTTAATTACGTTCAAGTATCTTTGGGAATGATTTTTTTTTCTTCAGAAGACTGAAGGAAGGACCTACGATGAAAGAAAACAGGGGAAGATATAAGAGATTGAGAATATCATCGCAACAGGACATGTCCCAGCTGACCCAAGGACCAGGTAATCAGGTTGAGGAAGGAAGAGATGAGAACTCGCAAGGCGTGACCAGGAAGTATGTGAAGAGTTTAGACGATTTAGGGAGATATTCACAGCGGAGACAGAAAGGCTTCAAGCAAATCGAGGCAGCAAGGGGTACCAGCAAGTGCTGGACACACTGCACACAAGCGAGAAGGAGATGAAGAAACTGCTAGGTGAACTAAATGCCTCAAAGCGGTGACCTCAGTTAACATCTCTCCCTGGGTCCTGAGAGATGGAACAATGGCATTGTGTGTGCCATTAACAACAATCTTCAATAAATCTATCGAAATAGGGCAACTGCCTGAGGTGTGAAAGACAGCAAATGTAGTCTCAATTTTTAAGAAGGGTGACAGACAGGATACATTAAACTACAGACCAGTGTCACTGACACATACAGTGTGTAAAGTCAAGGAGAAGATTATCTGGAGAAGAGTGGAAGGTCAACTAGAAAGAAATGGACTCTTACATGACAACCAGCATGGTTTCAGTGATGGGAAATCTTCTGTCGCACACTTGCTGGAGTTCTACGACAAGGTAACAGACGCAAGAAAGGAGAGACATGAATGGATAGCCTGCATCTTCTTGAACTGTAAGAAGGCTATCGACACAGTTCTGAACAAGAGATTAGTGCAAAAACTAGAGGAGCAAGGCAAGAATAACAGGAAAGGCCTTGCAGTGGATCAGTAGAATACCTGACAGGAAGGAAACAAAAAGGGTCAAACATAGGGATGGTGTTGTTTCTGGTATATGTCAATGACAGAACGGAAGGGATAGATTCAGAAGTGTCTCTGTTTGCAGACTATGTGAAGCTAATGCGGAGAATTCAAGAGGATGAGGATCAGGTAGAACTGCCAATAGATCTGGACAGGGTGCATGCCTTCTCCAACAACTGGCTCCTGGAGTTTAACCCCACCAAATACAAAGTCATGAAGATTGGGGAAGACGAAAGAAAACCGCAGAGTACAGGCTAGGGGGACAAATACTACAAACCTCACTCAAGAAAAAGGATCTTGGGGTGAGTATACTATCGAGCACATCTCCTGAGCCGTACATCAATCAAGTAACTGCTGCAGCATATGGGCACCTGGCAAACCTAAGAATAGTGTTTCGACACCTTAGCATTATCCATTAAAATACTGACGCCATTCTAAAGAGGTAAACTTCAATATATTTAACGTGATCGTACGGAAATAAATTTTTCACGCCATTTTACACATTAAATGGCCAAGCTAACGCCTTCACACAGGAATTTCACTTTCTTTAGTCGATGAATTAAAGGCACCATTTTTGAATGCTGGAAGCTATGCCACTGATGGTTTTGAAAGTTATTGGAAACGTTTCAGGACAATGGGAATGGGAAGTACAGTGTTGGTCATAGGGGACCAGTACGTCCTATATTACTCCAAGAATCTGACTGTAGTTGCTGTACTCAATCACTGAAAATATGAAGGCAGTCGGATGATGTCTTCTCAATTTTGAGCTAAAGAAAAACTGAAAGGTGGAGAATAAAAAAAGAACCAAAAACAATCAAGCTCCTCAGGTCTCCCCTCAGTTGTAAATAAATAAATAAATAAATAAATACAAATAATGATAATAATAATAACTTTGCATTATCCAGACACTGAATACCAATACTTACCGAAGGCGCATGAAGCTGTTGATCACTGATGACGTGCTGAGACATCTGTGGGTTGAAGTGATCTCTGTCACTGACGAATTGTTGAAACAGCAATGGGTTGATGTGATCTCTGTCATTGACTGCAGGTTTGTTATAAGTTACTCTGGAGAGGGAAGGCTCACTTGCAGCTCTATCAGACCCATCCGAGATAGAGGTGTAGGTAGAGTTCCTTTCTACTGTCTCTCTCGTAGAGGTGTCCGGTCTCCTTAATGGACGCAGCTGATTAAAGAAATAAGCATTAATTTTTTTCAGACGTTACCAAACTAGGTTGTTGTAAATAAAGTATAAAAATAGATACATTTCGTTCGTTGCGCGATCCTAGGAGGTACTCCCTGTATCTCACAAGCCCAGCCCCCTCTACCTCAATACACACTAAAGAACAAGTGAAGAGTATTTATAATATTGTAATGTAGCAAAATATGAACCTGCTGCATGTATACTTGTGAATATGTATATCTGTGTATATGTTGCAGTATACAAATGTAATTTTTTTCATATATACACGTATATATGTATATATGTGAGTTATGTGAGTTATGTATATATCCATTTGTAAGCTTATATGACTGCATATGAAGGGGTGTGTATAAGTGTAAATATATACATAAATACTTATGTGTACATGTGATAAGTATACATGTGTGTATATGTGCATATAAATGTGTACGTGTGCATATTTATGCATGCATATATTTCGACACTTGCATAGTATATATACAAACCGGGAGTGTTCCTGGAGGGTGTTCCTGGGGTCAACGCGCCCCCCTACCGGTCAGTGACCAGGCCGCGGTGGATCATGGCTTAATCAACCAGGTTGTTACTGCCTGCCGCACGCACACAGACGTACGAACCACAGCCTGACTGATCAGGTACTGATTTTCGGTGCAGCTCCATCTTGTCTTGAAGACAGCTTGGGGTCTATTGGCAATGCTCCAGGAAAGACAGTTGAACAGTCTTGGGCCCCTGACACTTATTGTGTTGTCTCTTAGTGTACTCATGGTACCCCAGTTTTGTGATGCTTTGCCTTCACTTGCAGAGAGAGCGTCGCTCTCTTCCTAATTTACATATTTTTTTCCTTAGGGGAAATGTGCCTTGAGCAGACCTCAAGTGCCACAAGTTACTTCTTTCTTGAAGGTTGGGATCCTCTGCAAAGAAAAATTTTCCCCAAAAGCTGGTTTATTTAGGATATGGTTAATTTTATCCCACTATATGTTTCCATTATTGAAGTTGAATTTGTTGAGGGCACCCTGATAATTGGTCTCATTTTGCTGGTCAGGAGTCCTGTGCATACATTTCTGTCCTTCAGTTTGTTTGATTTTAAAATTTCGAACCAGATATCATTAGTAGTGAAAAAAAGGGTCAAGTGTTTTTTCCCAGCTGCTGGTCCACCATTTGCCGCGTAAGGGAATTTGTAGGAGATTTTTAAAAACTAATGAGTTGTGAATTTTCATTAACTGCCTCCTGGGGTGATCTCTGCTAAAACAATACATGCCACTTTCCTCCATTTCAGGTGTCCAAAGTTGAACTCTCACAGTAACAAGATATTTGGGACTGGGATTGGGAGATTCTCAAGATAGTAGTCAATTTTCAGAAGCTGTTCCTTGAATTGTTGGGAAGTTGTATTCAACCACAATGACAAGATTTTGACTTTCAATCTTTACTGCCAAAACGTCAATTACATTTTTTATGGTGTTTAGTAATTCCGAGCAAATGGGCGACTCGGTGACACACAGGCCAACCCTTTAATGCTCTATGTTCTTTCTGTCATATCTGAATAAGTTGTACCCTGGGATCGGATAGGCCTACACATAATAAAAATGAGGTGAAGTATAAGCAAGTACACAACCCGCACTTATGAGAGAGGAGCTTACGATGACGTTTCGGTCCGACTTGGACCTTCTCTCCTTTTCTTAGTGTGACTTTGTATATGGTCCAAGTCAGCCCGAAACGTCGTCGTAAGCTCCTCTCTCCTATGTGCGGGTTATTTGTGTATTGTTCCAGTCAAGGTATTGTGCCTTTTTTGTTATTTAGTAGCTAGTAAATAGGCTACACAATTGAGATTGGAATGTGATGACAAGTTCCACGAGCAACTGATGCCTGGGACACGTGCAACTGATGCCTGGGACACGTGCAACTGATGCCTGGGACACGTGCAACTGATGCCTGGGACACGTGCAACTGATGCCTGGGACACGTGCAACTGATGCCTGGGACACGTGCAACTGATGCCTGGGACACGTGCAACTGATGCCTGGGACACGTACAACTGATGCCTGGGACACGTGCAACTGATGCCTGGGACACGTGCAACTGATGCCTGGGACACGTGCAACTGATGCCTGGGACACGTGCAACTGATGCCTGGGACACGTGCAACTGATGCCTGGGACACGTGCAACTGATGCCTGGGACACGTGCAACTGATGCCTGGGACACGTACAACTGATGCCTGGGACACGTGCAACTGATGCCTGGGACACGTGCAACTGATGCCTGGGACACGTGCAACTGATGCTTGGGACACGTGCAACTGATGCCTGGGACACGTGCAACTGATGCCTGGGACACGTACAATTGATGCCTGGGACACGTGCAACTGATGCCTGGGACACGTGCAACTGATGCCTGGGACACGTACAACTGATGCCTGGGACACGTACAACTGATGCCTGGGACACGTGCAACTGATGCCTGGGACACGTACAACTGATGATGCCTGGGACACGTACAACTGATGCCTGGGTCACGTACAACAGATGCCTGGGACACGTACAACAGATGCCTGGGACACGTACAACTGATGCCTGGGACACGTGCAACTGATGCCTGGGACACATGCAACCGATGCCTTGGACATATGGAACTGATGCCTGGGACACGTACAACAGATGCCTGGGACACGTACAACAGATGCCTGGGACACGTCCAACTGATGCCTGGGACACATGCAATTGATGCCTGGGACATATGGAACTGATGCCTGGGACACGTACAACAGATGCCTGGGACACGTACAACAGATGCCTGGGACACGTCCAACTGATGCCTGGGGCACGTACAGCAAATGCCTGCGGCACGTACAACTGATGCCTGGGACACATGCAACTGATGCCTGGGACACATGCAACTGATGCCTGGGACACATGCAACTGATGCCTGGGACACGTACAACAGATGCCTGGTACACATGCAACTGATGCCTGGGACACATGCAACTGATGCCTGGGACACGTACAACAGATGCCTGGGACACATGCAACTGATGCCTGGGACACGTACAACAGATGCCTGGGACACATGCAACTGATGCCTGGGACACGTGCAACTGATGCCTGGGACACATGCAACTGATGCCTGGGACACGTACAACAGATGCCTGGGACACATGCAACTGATGCCTGGGACACATGCAACTGATGCCTGGGACACATGCAACTGATGCCTGGGACACATGCAACAGATGCCTGGGACACATGCAACTGATGCCTGGGACACATGCAACTGATGCCTGGGACACATGCAACTGATGCCTGGGACACATGCAACAGATGCCTGGGACACATGCAACTGATGCCTGGACACATGCAACTGATGCCTGGGACACATGCAACTGATGCCTGGGACACATGCAACTGATGCCTGGGACACATGCAACTGATGCCTGGGACACATGCAACTGATGCCTGGGACACATGCAACTGATGCCTGGGACACATGCAACTGATGCCTGGGACACATGCAACTGATGCCTGGGACACGTACAACAGATGCCTGGGACACATACAACTGATGCCTGGGACACATGCAACTGATGCCTGGGACACATGCAACTGATGCCTGGGACACATGCAACTGATGCCTGGGACACATGCAACTGATGCCTGGGACACGTACAACAGATGCCTGGGACACATGCAACTGATGCCTGGGACACATGCAACTGATGCCTGGGACACGTACAACAGATGCCTGGGACACATGCAACTGATGCCTGGGACACATGCAACTGATGCTGGGACACATGCAACTGATGCCTGGGACACATGCAACTGATGCCTGGGACACATGCAACTGATGCCTGGGACACATGCAACTGATGCCTGGGACACATGCAACTGATGCCTGGGACACGTACAACAGATGCCTGGGACACATGCAACTGATGCCTGGGACACATGCAACTGATGCCTGGGACACATGCAACTGATGCCTGAGTCACATGCAACTGATGCCTGGGACACATGCAACTGATGCCTGGGACACGTACAACAGATGCCTGGGACACATGCAACTGATGCCTGGGACACATGCAACTGATGCCTGGGACACATGCAACTGATGCCTGGGACACATGCAACTGATGCCTGGGACACATGCAACTGATGCCTGGGACACATGCAACTGATTGCCTGGGACACGTACAACAGATGCCTGGGACACATGCAACTGATGCCTGGGACACATGCAACTGATGCCTGGGACACATGCAACTGATGCCTGGGACACATGCAACTGATGCCTGGGACACATGCAACTGATGCCTGGGACACGTACAACAGATGCCTGGGACACATGCAACTGATGCCTGGGACACATGCAACTGATGCCTGGGACACATGCAACTGATGCCTGGGACACATGCAACTGATGCCTGGGACACATGCAACTGATGCCTGGGACACATGCAACTGATGCCTGGGACACGTACAACAGATGCCTGGGACACATGCACTGATGCCTGGGACACATGCAACTGATGCCTGGACACATGCAACTGATGCCTGGGACACATGCAACTGATGCCTGGGACACATGCAACTGATGCCTGGGACACATGCAACTGATGCCTGGGACACATGCAACTGATGCCTGGGACACATGCAACTGATGCCTGGGACACATACAACTGATGCCTGGGACACATGCAACTGATGCCTGGGACACATGCAACTGATGCCTGGGACACATTCAAAACAATATTCACTATCATCCTTGATAATATTGCACCAGGATTAAACGACGGCCTGAAGCCTGGATATTTACTGAGGTATTGGATAATATCAAATTCAGGAATCAGTTGCTGAAAAGATTTAGAGATATTGCGCCGCTAAACAAATTCCGAAGGCGAGGAACAGCGTGCAGAGGCTTATAAAACAAGCAAAGTCTAGGCTCAATTGCACAGAATTTTGTCAAGAACACAAGAATAACCCAAAAAAACT